TTCATGAAATACTTTCTATGAGTTTGTACTCTCTGAAAGGATTGTTCTTTGGGCAAGAACAGACTATTTATATAATGAAACAATGTGCAAGAAACCAACTCTTCAGTTGACGGTTACAATGTAGTACTCTCTATATATTACCATAAAAAACAAAAGATTGATGACTGCAATTTAAACCATAATCCCTTTCTTTTTAATTGTATATTAATAGAATACTGGAAAGGTAAGTGTTGACACTGATTTACACTATCACAACGCTTGTACATAATATGTACAAATCTAGCATTTCATGATTTTGTAGTTTAAACGGCAATGAATTACTTATTGAAACAAAAACAAAAAAAAATCAAGATTCTAACACATTTTTAATGCAACCTTTTGACTCAGGTGAAACCTTTTGTTTATAATTTACACATCAAAATGATACACAGTCACCTACTGCACTATTGCTTCATGAAAACCAAAAGTAACTCTAATTGGCTGTCGAAAACAAAAGTTATTCAAATGCTTCCAAATTCTGAATATTAGGTGAGGCAATTAATCCTATATTTATTTTTTGTTTCATTTTCATTGAATATGTTTATTTCTGTGTACAGTACAGTGCCATGCAACCTATCAAGCACATTTAAGCTCATGACAGAAAATGCTCACATCCTTTGGTTGATTAAACATATTTGTTGGATTTTAGGTTAGGAAATAGGGCCTTGAAACTACATGATTGGATTACTTAATGCATGTATGTATGGAGAGTGAAATGCAATTAAAGAGGGTGTGATTCGATAGCCTAGGTTGGATATGGATAGTACTTGGGGTTGGATGGTTGGGGGAAGGAAGAGTTGAAGCAGGGCTCCACACTCACTTGTTGTTGAAGGGGGTGCATCAATGTGTCTTATATGCTAAATACTAGATGAAACTTCATATTTGCTTAAAATACACCCTCCCTTTCATACATGTTATAGTAATAGTCTCACCCATTTAAAATTTGCACAATTATGCTGTAACAGTAATAGGGAACACACAACATCACACTTTTGTTATGAAACTTGCAACACAAAAAAAGCACCTACTCCCATTGCATAGGTTTAGCTAGGTAGTTCTTTTATTTTCCTTTTTAATGCATTTAAGATCTTTGGATTATTTGAAAAATGTATCTCTTTATCAAAGTCCAGCCTTATCTTTAGTTCTTGTTATAATCAGGAGTCGGAATTGGAATAGATATTCTTTGTCTAGTGTACTTACAAAGATTCACAGAAATACTGTAGGCAATAATGTTTATTATGAAATATTGTATTTGTTAATAGAGAGTATCCCCTTGGCTGAGAAGCTATCATGTGACACTTAACATTTTGTTATATATGCGCACAAGCATAACAACCTTTACCATACGAAAGTGAATTTGACTGCACACCTATCTCCCCTGCATGCATGTACCCATTGTCTATTTAAGTTGCATGCATCTGATCCTGATGCCAAGGCAACCTTGAATATAATTGAAAGTATCCAACTCCAAATGAGTATGGGATTAAAAACAACCTAAATTTTATGGAACAAATGGTCAATGCATTCTGTTGTTCAATGTAACGTATATTCAGCGACAAATTCAGAATTTGCCATAATATTTCAACCTCGGCCTGCGGCCTTGGTAATATACATGAATAACATCACTGGGGGAAATCTGAATTTGTTGGTTCATATATTTTGTTATATTGAATGCCGGAGCATGCAATATTTATATGATATTGTCTGCTGAGAGTCAGAGTTAGTTAAGGCTTGTTCAGACATGGCATGGTAAACCGCCGCAAATGAATAAATGGCAACTGCGCGCAACACAGGACTTGTAGACGTATTCAGTGAGCTCTCTTGTATAACATACAGAAATGTGAAGCTTATACATGCACTTGACTTTACGTCATATTAAAACACTACGGTTTTGCTGCATCATATCTGAACGAACCCTTTTTGGCTTTCAGTAGATGATACTATCTCTCCATCTGACATCTGTAACCTAATACTCAAAATTAAAGAGAAGATAAAGACTCAAGATCTCATTGTGGCTGGTCTATTTTTTTCCTTTTTTTTCCCCCTAAATGAAATAAATCTAGTCAAGTGCAATTAATGTGTCGCAACCTTAAGTGCTCTTCACACAGGAATGGATCCTTATCCACTTGAAAGGTTTTGAAGCCCTCAAACTGCAACACTTGATCGGACTGTCCTTTTTTATGACCCAAAGAAGATGATTCATGTACGATGTATACCACAACCAGACTTATTATTCATGCCTTGAGATATTAGACAATAGACATTGGGAATATTCTGAATGCCAAAGGAGAATTGAGCTGGACATCGATACCCATTTGTGGTAAAAAAAAATAAGACATGTTGTCATCTCATATATTTTCAGCACATATCCAGCCTAAATTAAGTGTTACAGCCCAAGTTATATTGTTGTTAATTCTTCATTTGTTCTTCCTGGTTCCATTCTTTATTTGTGTGTGATAAACTAATACTACAGTACATGTATCGAGTACAAAAATAATTGGGGACTTATGCCTCAAATGAAATAGCAAAATATAAAGTTGAGAAAGGGGGGTAGGGGGGGGGGGTGACAAAATGTTAAAGAAGGTGATAGGACCCATCCCGCACCCTTCCGCTAATTATAGTTGCTATATTCATTCACATTTCATTCACTCAGCAAAAACTGGGGCACTCTCATTGTCTGGATCTTCAGTAGATCTTAACTCATTAGGAAACAAGAATTTATTTCAGATTCTTCAACGTAAAACATTAAATGATTTAAATTCACTAATTTGTTTTCTTCTAAAACATTGCTTTGAGACATGAATTAGTGGCTTTAGCATGTTGCAAACTTTTCCTTAAAAAAAAAAACAATATGAAATAATATGTTCCGATGGTTTATGTGTTACCATCTTCATTAGATCTGTCCATATACGTCACCTGACTTGCCTCTCATGGATAGGTGAATGTGGGTTTATTTTATAGTTCTGTTTGTGCACCAGGGACGGAGCTAGCTAGCTATCCGCCAGGTGTACACATCTGATTACAGTATCTCCTTGTACATGAATGAATCGCTCTGCCCTGGAGAGGAGATTGCCTGGGATTGAAAGACGAGATGTAATGGTGGAGTCTAAGGATGGATCATAACTCCTCGAGCAGTAATGAAATTGGGTTTGCAGCATTGGGAGGGCGGTAGTTTAATGATAACCCGTGAGCAAATGCCTGCATGTGCTTGGCTTTTGTGGAAGGGACATTTGAGGAGTGTAGAAGGGAGTGGGGTTTTTTGCAAGAGGAGGGGGGGGGGGGGGGGGGGGCTAGCTTATGGGGATGGGGTGATTATCGTAGTTTGGAAGCTATAAGTTTACCTACGTGTAGGAGCCAATTCTCTCCTTTGCACGTCACCCCCTCTCTTTCTCTATTTTTCTCTGTCTCTCTTGTGGCCTCTCTTTTTCTCCTCCTCTCTCTCTCTCTCTCTCTCTCTCTCTCTCTCTTTCTTTCTCTTTCTTTTTCTCTTTTCCCCCTCTCTCTTTATCTCTCGCTCTCTTATCTCTTACAAGTTACCTCTTTCTCTATCTCTTACCATCCCTTCCCCCCCCCCCCCCCCCTGCTTCACCTTTCCTCTCCCACTTCTCTTATCTGTCTTTCCATGCCTCACTCATTTGCTAACCTGTTGTGCAAGCACATATATTTGTTAGAATTAAAAGACAGAACAAAATATAGAAAACAAAAAGCAAGTATCAATTCAAGCATTTGAAAAGCGAAACACTTTATCAATCACATTTACCTGTAATTCTCATTTTGTTTTGAGTGAGATAGCCAGTGTATCAGAGAAGGCACATGGCGGAATTTAAGTCCCTCATACACAAACACATGGGCGATTGCCACTTTAAAGTCTAATCGCTGCATCTGCCTTTGACATCGATTTCAAATCGACTGAGAGCTCCGTAGTGCTTTTGTGTTGCAACTGTCGATGGAGACAATCCTCAGCTGTCAAGAAGCATTCTGTTGTCAAGCATGGAGAAATAATATGACTCGAACAGATGTATCCATACCATGGTCTCTTCAACATTCTTTCTCTCTCTCTCTCTCTCTCTCTCTCTCTCTCTCTCTCTCTCAAGGTCCATCACTAGTGGTAACTAGTAAATATAAAGATAAATCTTTCTTTAAAGCTAGGTATGACTAAACAAAAATTAAAAATGGGATACATGAATTAGAAAATATTGCATGCTTTATGCTGAGAACATCCTGAAATAGCTTCATGGATATTTTTTTCACCTCTTTTTTAAAGTGGTATGACTTGAATTGTTGTATAAAGAAACCTGAACTTATTGCATGTCTCATTGTTGAATCATTGCAAATAAAAGACAGTGTCCGTTGAAGACATCCGTGGAAGCACTGTTGATATGTTGCAACTGAATGTTTGGGTTGTTAGATCAAAATGAATTCACTAAACTAGAGATAGAATGATTTTTGGAATAGCACCCCTGAAATCTTACCCTCACAATTTCTCAAATGTAATATTTCATACTTGAATGTCATCATGAATGGTAGAGATTAAGAGGCAAATAGTGAATCATAGTTCTTGAGGACCATATTGAGAGCCAGAAAGACAGTCCCATATACATGTTTCTTTTACATAGATTCAAACCCCTATGTCTCTCTGCAGTTCATATTCATACATGTATGTATCATGTAGAAGAATCGCTATGTGATACACACTCAATGTTCTAGAATTACCCTTGAGTTACTCATAATATTGCATTGTATGTCACACCCCAAAATATATACTTGTTTTGCGCTTGGATGGCATTGTCATTGCCTTGATAATGAATCAGTTAGTCAGAAGAAATGTTGTCGTCTTAAAGTTTTGCACAGCTGTAGAAACATCAATGCATGTGTCCAAGACGTCAACCCACCATTATACATGTATGTTGTAGTTCACCAATGACACTTCACGCTCTTTTATGTTTTGATTTGTTCAACAGCATGCTAAGTCAGTAAGTACAATTATCTTCGTCAAAAAAATTAGAATTTGTTTGTTTCATCTCTCTGGCATTTTGCCTCTTTTTCTGCTCACGCTTTGTTTGTGGATTGATTGATGCACATGTATTTGAAAAGCTTGCTGTGTTTTGCACCATTTCTCACTCTGGTCTATGTTTGTAAGCAAATTTTAAATAAAGTTGATGCTTGCGAACATGTTTTTGATGTGCTTTTATGTAACTGCCGTGTTTTTTTTGTAATAAATGTTGCTTTTTCTTCAGAATTCTATTGTAAATGCAATGTACTGATTCTTAGAAAATGAAGATGGGTCTATCAAATTATATCCAAAATCTACACTTAGAACACTTTCTGCACAGTAGAACATAATAATGTATTTTGTCTTATGACTGTTAGAGTTAGAACCCAACATTTATATTACAGCATTATATAGAAAAGAAACAAAGCATATATATTCTAAAAGTAAAAAGGAATCTACATGTAGATGTAGCTACAATATATATTTTAATCATCAAAGTGATATACAGAAAAATGAGAACTATATAATCGGGTATGAAAATTGTATGCTGTATTATTCATGTAGAATAATAGTAAAAAACAATATATTCATATATCACAATATTACCATATTTTTCTATAAATTTATTTGATGTGCCTTACAGTGCATGTGTTCACTTTGATGTGTTTGCGTAGAGAATGGCTTTGAAATGAACATGATGTACAACTACAGCATGCCGTGATGTGAAATGCAGCTATGCATGTACACAGTGTGTTATGTACCTTACACCAGATGAAGAATGTATCTGCTGTTTTTGTCTGTTTTTCTCCCATGCATGAAACACAAACTATGTCGTCGCTGTTTTCACGAAGTGACGGTAGTGAAAAAAAATTGCAGTCACTTTGTGTGACGATTTTCCTCACTACCGTCACTTCGTGAAAACAAGGACGATGTGTTCAAAGTAGGCCCTACACGAACAAGTGACAAATTGGATTGGCACTTTGACAAAGTTGATTATAAAATGATGAAATTGATTGAAGCACGTGTATGTTTCCAGCTAGATATGACAAGATTGATTTGACTTTGAGGAAATAGGCTGCAAAGTAATGAAATTGATTGGAGTTTAATAATAAATGACCAAAGACGAAATTGACCATTTGGTGTGCAAGATATCAAAATTTCAAGACGAAATTTAAATGAAAAAAAGTTGTGAAATTAAATGAATAAAAGTGTTTAAATGGACGGGTAAACCTACTGTACAGTACATGTTTATACCAAACTTACGAATTAGGTGTTAAGAGGGGTGGGGGGGGGGGGGGTAGAGACAGTTGTACCCCTCCCCCTTCATCCATACATTGATCCCATACATGTGATTGCATTCATACAGACATTTCATAGAACTGATTTCTTAGAGTACTGGTGTGCTAATCACTGCTACATGTACATGTGAATGTTAGAATAGAGAACATGAGTAGGGATGACATGAATGTGATTGCTTGGTGTAAAGTGCTCGAGGGCAGCACTAGAGCTGATTAATTGATCTCATGTGGAGACCATATGCTAATAGGATCCTTATCATCTTGTTTTTCATAGAACTCTATTTATTCCTTTCAGAATGTCTGTATTTTGAGATGTAACTAAAAGTGAAAATAAAAGATGAAAGGTTGCATGGTGTATATTCAGAGAAATGTGCCGCAATAAGTTTGAGAGTGCAAGGAATGTGATTGTTCTGCATAAAATGCTTGCAAGCATCAGTGTTATATAATGTTAAATTCTGAGAAAGATTATGGAACATTATCAAAAGAAAAGAAAAGGGGAAGGTGTTTATAAGGATAGAGATGAACCTACTAATCTTTAAACTGTACCGAAAGATTCTTAATTATTTATTCATTCTTTAATTGCAGCCGTATTTTTGAAGTACCTGAACATGAAAACAAAGCAATTAATAAATCATCTTTATAAATAAAGGAAGAAAAGGGTCTAGATATTAGAGTTGGTTTTATGAACCAACATCTTCAGCGGCCCAGCTCTACATTTAAAAAATTAGATATGACGGCAATCTGAAGTACCTTTTTAAAATGTGCATATTACATAAGAAGAAAAAAGGGGGAAAAAAGAAGCAAATAATTAAAAAATATTGTTCATTATACTTTATTCAATATGTGTACCAATTTTCATCTTCATATCACCAACCGTACATCTTGGGGGAGAGGGGTCATAATTGCCCCCCCCCTCCTATTAGAAACCCTTGAAATACCCCGGCCTCAGTAGCGTTAAACTTTACCCTTGTGATTAGAGCATGAAGGATGCTTCTTCATAATATTTGATTCACAGTTATATGCATCAATACCTTTCTTGCTCTTAGTGTTAGCAGACGACCCAATTCAAAATCACCTCAAAAGGAGTGTGTCAGTTTGTTGGGTGTATTTTCATATGTAGAATTTTGTTTACAAATAAAGTGCAGACAAACCGAGGCTATCAGTAAGGTAAGCTCTTTTCAAAGCTATTAAATCTTACCATGGAGATATAAGAGAGACCAGACATAGAAGCGTTGTGTTTATGAGAACCCAATGAAGCATAGAATACTTGATGATATTAAGCCTATAGTGTTCAAGAGAAAGTGTTGCGGAGTGGTGTCTTCTAGGTCTTGTGTTCATCATCAATCTCAAAATCCATTGTTGTTACCTCAAAAGACTTTTTTGAGAAAAGCAGAAATGTCCCTCAAAAATCAAATATTTGCACTGGTTGCAGAGGGCTTTGATTTATACTTGAAATCATTGCTCAACAGTACGTTAATAAGTTGTATAATTCTTATGCTGCATTCATCAGCATGTTTACAAATCTTTACTTCACAAGTTGTGATAAAATCAATTAGAGATGTGCCCCTAGACTGTACAATGCCCATGTACATGTATAGACCCTTTTTCGAGAATGCAGTGTTCCTTAACCCTCTAAGTGCCATTGGCAATTCAATCTACCCACATTTCATGTTGTATGTAATCTTTTCAGATAAAGATGAGATTTATCATCTCTCTTCTTAAAAGTAAAAATGAGGCTAGGGACTGTGAAGTTTAATATCATGAAACATTGTTGGTTTGAGAATTTTTAGCAATGAAAAAAAAGTACATGTACTGCAATAATACTGAAAAGTGATTGAAAATGTCTCCCAAAATTTATTTCATTTAATTTACTGGTACTTTAGGGGTTAAGAAGATCTGCTTCATTGAGTTTTATTGTGAAAGGGAAATGATGCACAGCTACCACTGCATCAACAAGGAAATGAAAGTTCAGGATCAATACGAGACAGAAAGTATGGTTTTGGAAGGTTAAGGAGAGGAGGAGTGGAGGCTGGTTAGAATGAGAGTGAAAGGTTTTGTGTTACGGGAGGGGAGGTTTGGAAGATCTTGTCTGCTGACAGCCAGAAGGGCGTTATCACTCTCTTTTAACATGAGAGTTAACACCCTTCTGGCTCTCATCTGATGATGTGGAGGATTGGAGGTTGAGAATGATGAAATGTCATCAAAAATACAAGATAAAAGAAGGACATAATGATTTGAAAGAGCAAACTAGAGGAAGGGAGATTGGTGGATATTAGCTGTGAAAAAATAAAGGTTTACACGATGAAAGGTTAGAAAGTAAAGAAAGGAAGTCCAAATAAGTAGTACTAGATGTTATTCTTGAGATTAAGGGAAACGGAAAAGGATACAGTTCTGCTTCCAATACAAATAGGCAGAAGAGAGGAGATTTCTCAGCTGTTGTGTCGTAACAGTGGTAGATGATAATTTTAAAAATCCCAGTTGTAAGGTACATTACTATGTGGGCTGTATATGTTCAAATACAATTGTATTTAGAATGAGAGTCATGAAACTCAAGAATGAAAGGTGTACTGTTTGAATTTGGGTCTTTGTTGAATACTTAAAGATGTAAAGCTTTAATATGCACACTCTCAAGAAAAATAAATCAGAACAAATCGATTTTTCACATATACTTTGAAAATGACAAGATTTGACAAGGATATGAATGATTAAGTTGTTTACTGTATGTGTCAATCGAATTGCAGTTCAAGATATAAACTGGGTTGAACAGAGGTTAAGTTCAAAGTCTTATGTGGATTGAGTTGGAAAATATAGCTTATACAACGCAGTGACTTTGTCAACAACAAATAGCTGTGTAGGAAAGAGGAAATGATGCATTGCTTCCATCAGGAATGAAAATGATGTTTCCTTGAGGTTTCTGAGCTGTCTTGAGAGGGTTCAAATAAATGATTCAAGTGTTTGGAGGGAAGGAATTATGCACAAAACAAGCAAACAAGGAAAGGGTTTTCACTGTCCATATCTCCCAATCGAAGTATATATTTGAATATATAGCATACCATTAAAAAAATGATAAAAATTGCTCAACATAGTGTAGTATTTAAATCTGACCAACATTTAGGCAATTATATGTGAATTTAACTCAATTTGTCAGAAAAGATGATCATGATTTCATAAATCATTGCTAAAGTTGGATTTAAAATAGCCCAAAGTTTGTCAAAAACATGACAATTCTCCCCCCCCCCCCAGTTATATTTTTTAAAGAAAATTTTGCAAAATTTCCTTTGCATTGTACATGTACATTATGTTTAATCGGTCCATTTCTTGGAGTATAGTGTCTTTTGTACCTTTAAAACTCTAATTTGCCTCTAACGAGGGCAATTCTGTGCCTTGCATGCCTCCCGAGTTATGAAGCGGGAATTACAGATGGGTTTACGGATCGGATGGAAAAGCAAGAAATTACACAATCCAGGAATACATCTACAATGAACATGTATCATTGCATAAATTCTTTATTCCTTAGGAAACATAATTGGAATGTTTTAGATGATCCCAGTGTTTTTTCAAGAATGATGCTGTAAATTTCCTAAAAAGGAGTCATTTCCCCAAAAAATGTTATTAATTCTGCACAATGAAAGTGGCAGTCTAAAATAATTGAGATTTATATTGTTCATACCATGCAGATTCCTCAAAATGTTATAGATTTTGTTGTTGTTGTTCAAACTATAACTGTGGCAGAAGAAAAAGGAACAGTATGGTAATAGATGTTGTGACTTCAGTGTATACATTCAAGTGAAAAGTATCTATCTGTATAAAAAAAAAAACTAGTTTATCCCGTGGCGCATCGTTACAACTTACCAGGAATTGAAGATATATGGGGCTTCGCCTTAACTGTTTGTAATGTCATCTATCATTATGTTGTTTAATGAATAAAATCCAAAAATAAAGGAATTGGTTCCTATTAATTTTATTTCCCCTCCTGTTGACCTGAATTCCAGATTTGATTTTATTACACCCCAAGTAATCGGATCTTAATTATTATTGTGAAAACCTCTTTCATTTTCATTCTCAATTTCTAAGATGTATCTGTGTTGGCTCATAATTCAAGCATACAGAAACTTGTAAATGACAAACCTAGTAGGTGTTGGTAAAACTGAAAGTAAATTTGAATTCAATAGAAGCCATTAAAAATATTGTTTGTTAGGAAGTAGAAGGGTGTTAACTCACTCTCACTCTCTATACACCCTCTCTCAGTTTCAGCTCCTTTATATTACACAGCAACAATACTTAATGTGGCAGTGGATGGGATATGTATTTTATTTTGATAATGAAAAAGCTTTACTTTTTGTTGAAGAAAACTTATGAAAAAGTAATGCAAAGGTGCAATGCCCATACAGTTTTTGTAGCTTCACATTAGGAAAATAAATACTTTAAACTAAAAACTTAGGTGTATTTAAATGTTATGTTATATTTTGATTTAGCACAAACCCATTTCCCCCTACTCTAGGATCATTATGCTTGAATTACCATTTGAAGTACTAAAAACCCTCTAGATTAAATCTTAGCTTGGAATTTGATGAATATTGCAACATACTTCAGCATGATTTGGCAGACAGACTACTTGTGTAAGTAATGTGACAGTCATTCAAAGAATCCCAAATCCTTGACTAATAGGTTAATCCTTATTATTGTTTGCTGCTAACTGAATGATCTCTTTGATAAGCCTCTGATTGAAAAGGGGAAATATATATTAGTTAGAAGGTAGTTAGTAGGCCTATTCATCAACATGTATAAACTTTGATGCAAGAGCATAGAGTCATTGGATTATAGTGAATATTAGATGATTTAACATACTTTAATCATTTTAATAGCTTTTCAACATACACTCTTAAAAATGATGATATTAAAGAATAAAGATGTATTTGAAACTATGAAAATAGATTCACAATTAATTTGTCTGTTCCAGCTCGCTGTGAAAATTGAAAGTTTTGCAGCAATTATCATTTTTATCACAATCATTGCCTTGCTTGTGTAGAACAGAGATGAAAGACAGAAATCTTGTTCATGAGGCATTTCTGTTGAAAACCATAATTATGCAGTAGATTGATCAAAATACTGATTCATTGTAAACTGTTGCACATACATTGAGTCACTTTCCAACATGTATGGTTCAAAGTTTCAAACTTTTGTATAGAAGGATGTGTACAGTGTACTTTCCGTCTCTTCTTTTTTGCTAGTTATTCCCCATAAAGTTCAAGCCATTACAAAAATGCATTTGGTTGAGTGCTATCTATGTATTATTGGATGACAACTGAACTAATGTAGCCAAAAAGGTTACTTCCTTTTTAGAACAAGGTATCAATCTAGAGTCAATAACCTCAAGGTATATGTACAGGTAGCAGCACATTTTTGGAATATGCATTGTCATCCACACATACATGATGTTCATGGCTGTGTAAGCTTGTTGATGCTTTCCCAACATAGCAACATCATGCAGTATTATAGATTAAATGTTTGAAAGAACCTGTTGCGCTTGCAGGCTATCATACTTATTTCTACTTAACATACAAGGCCAATGGCTTTAACCTAGGGCTTGATGAGCTTAATGTTCAGTGAGTTGAATCATTCCAATCATTCATGTGTTTGTTTGCATTGGATAGGGAACGTTATCCATGGTTACTCATGGTTACTCATGTTACATTTAGAACAACAGATTAAGCAACTATTTTTTCTAAAATGTATGAGTCATAATGATAATAAAGGTTGTATAGAGTTGTATTGTTATATTCACTTTCATATACATAGATGATTTCAAATACATATACATGAATCGTGATCAGCACTTCAGAGCCAAACAATCAATTTTATCATAAATCTAGAATCTTCTGGGTTTTTTTCTAAAACATGTTCTGTGAAAAAATTACTGCAAAAGTGATGATCACATAGGCTCTATGTATGAGTATCCTTCAAAATACAATGTCTTTGTCATCATAACAGTTAAATGTTGAAGTTTACCAGAAGTAATTATAAGTGTGAAAGAGGCCGTCTGTGGAAATATCACTCTATCAGAGATACCCTCATACATGTATTAGGTTGCATCGGGGAAGTATTGATAACAAGAATGTTCTCAGCTATAGAATTCCTGTCCTTCATGAAGCCTCCTTCACACACATCGTGCATGTATGGTGATGATGGGGGTAAACTGGCTCTGAGAGACTCTTCAGACTAACTAGTAGAAGCTTATACAAAATTGTTTAAAGTAACGTCATATATAAAGAAACGTAATCTAAAGAAACTCTAGTTTTGAAGAGATGAGTGGACATGGCAGCTGGCCAATCATCAGTGTGAGTTTGAGATTAGCTACGCCCAGTTATACGATTTTTGTACGATAAGGTATATTCAGTCTAGAGTTGGACCTTGGTTCTTTATTACATTTGGCATGATGCTCAAATGTATGCATTTTGATATCCAATGTTTCACTATACTACTTTGAGACTAGAACGATTTATTTACTAATCATATATAGCTAACGTTGAATTTTGGTAGTATGAACCCAGTAAAAACAACTGCAGCATATTAAAACTGAAATTAAACCTGTAAATGAAAGACAAATGGTGGGAGGGGGGGGGGGAGTAGCTGCACATACATGTATAGCAAAGGGCCCTGTAAAGCATTGTTACTCAATATCTGTGTGTTTTAAAGATGTGACATGCACCATGCTTGCGTGATCTTCAGACTTAAGTTGCACTGGCAGTGCTTTCAAGGTGGTTTATCTCTTCATGTGTGAAAGAGGCTTGGAGCAGTCAATGACCTCATTAGAAATACCTTGAGGAGAAAGATGATCCTAAAAGGTCTAATGAAACACAATGGATGAGGTTACTGGTGCAATCAAACTTACGGAGGCATCCATCTTGATTCCTTGCTGATGGATTCACCAGGGACCATTTCACAAAGTTTTTTTTCAATGACAAATGACAAAAATCAGTGACAAATCTGTTGGCAACTAATCAGAAGCACAAATTTCAGTAGCTTATAACAAAAACTGTCATTTGTCACTGCTGACAAGTTTTGTGAAATGCCCCCTGGTTACAGTGTTGATGTATACATGGAGTAGAGAGAATAGAAGTTGCATAGAAGAAAAATAATGCTTCTTACACACTCAGGAGTAGAATGCCTCTGAGTCTGAGTCTGACTTAAGATTTAGTATGACATTGAATATTGTTGTGTTTAAGAAAAAGAAGATGAGAGGGATGTAAAGAAGTATAGAATGTAGATATTGATAGGAGAGATGGGTGTAGAAAGATCAAGAGAATGTGGGATGATAACAGATAATTAAAGGAAATTTACTTTTGTGCCATTTGTTCATAGGGAGAATGTTGTTGGTGACCAACACCACCCCCACCCCCTTGGAATATATTACTCAACGCTGTCAACCCAAATGTTCTTTTCATACGTGAAAGATATAACGTTCTTGTAAACCTAACGTCATACAATTTGTGATCTAACAAAGTGTATGTGTGTGTTTGTTTGAAATGAAAGCTAAGAAACAAAACACAACAAACAATCAAGCAAGCAAGCAAGCAAACAAAAAAAAATATTATGAAGATTGGAAAGATTGAGTGTCAAAATGAGAAGATATCATGAATTTATATTTAAAGAATTCACACTTAACCTCCATATTCTGCTACAAGAAGGCCCACTACCAGCCTACTTTCCATCCTTACTTTCCATCATCATTTGATAATAAATTGTTTCATCTTTGTGTGTTTCCTCAGGTTATTCAGATGTTCCGAGGCTGCAAGTTGGAAGACATGCCCCCTCACATCTACGCCTCTGCCCAGACGGCCTACCGGTCAATGCAGTCCACCCGTAAGGACCAGTCCATTGTCTTCATGGGGAGGAGCGGAGGCGGTAAATCGTGGAACGTCCGCCATATCCTGCAGTACTTGACCATTGTATCTGGCACAAACAACAACATTGTCACAGGTGAGTCTTCAAAGGGTCATTGTTGTTGTAGTCATACTCATCAGAATGTCTTTGGTTCTGATAAGTTGATTTGAATCAAATCTGATTTCCTCTCTCTGGACAACTAGCCTGCGGCACTAATGTCATTTGGCAAGACATTGATCTACATATGCCACACTCAACCCAGGTGATGTAAATGGGTACCTAGCAGGAATTAATTCCTTGAAATGCTAAAGCGCCGTAATGGCCGCCGTGCTAAAGCCAGGGTAATAATCAGGAGCGCCAGGAGTGTTGAGTCTGACAGAGCTGAGCGCTATACAAGAACCCACTATTATTATTATTATTATTTAAACCTGTAGCCCTCTCACTCCCTATAAGCAAGAAGCTTTACAGATTTACTTCTATAAATGTCTCAAATTGCCCTTCAACAATAACTAGGGGGTTCTTGTGGAGAGAGTAGTTGTCCAAGGAATTATTTGCCAAGGATTAAGTTTTGTTTGGTTAGTTTTCAAGGCATCGCTGGAATGCTCCCCAGGAAGTGGAGATTGTGCACACATTGTGTGTCGGCAAGTACTGAATCCAATGACCGGGGTAATAGTATATTTGTAAAGCGCTTAGAGACATTTGTATTAAGCGCTATATAAAAGCTAAATATTGTTTCTATTATTATTATCTCTTTGATTATAAATCACATTTTCAATATTTGGTGATACTGCATTGAACAATGACACCTCTCCCTCCCTCTCTCTTGGTTCCTTCTTTGTTTCATCAGTTGACAAGATCACTGGAGTCACCACCCTCCTGGATGCCTTTGGAGGGGCCAGGACCATACAGAACACCAGCGCTACCCGATGTGCTAGCATCTACTCTCTAGACTTTGATCACCTTGGACAGATAGCTTCCAGCTCATTGCAGGTAAATCATACTCTATCAAGAAAGAATGGAAAGGGATTGGATCACTTCAGGGCATGGATGTACAGTCAGAAGTAATTCTATTCTATTGAATTATGAAGGAACATGACCATGGTAACGTTGTCTTGGCCACACTTCCTAGAGGAAATAATTCTAGAACACTGTTTTTCTATCGTGACCCGACATATGCTCTTGTGTCTCATTTCATCAATGATACAAGTTAGGGTAGTGGTTGCGTTTTGGTGTTATGTTAGGTTCAGTGATAGGGTTAGGCATGGTGTTGTGTCTAGGGTTGAAGTTTGAACTTTGGTCATAGGTCATTGATAAAAGATGACCATGGAGCAATGTTTGCCACAGTATGTGTCATAAAACCTGTAAATTACATTACCATATGCAAAGGGTAGAAGCACTACAACTTTCTTTCTACCGTAGTATAATAAACCACACTGCCTCTGATGTAAGCCTGTGTTTGAGATGTCAAGTCTCTTTGTAGAGGTGTCGTGGTCGAGTGGATACGTCACCGGACTGTCGATCACAAGGTCTGGGGTTCAAGTCCTGCCGCAAGCACTAATGTCCTTTGACAAGACATTGATCTATATTGCCACTCTCCATCCAGTTGTTAAAAATGGCTACCCGGTAGGATGCGAAAGTTAATGTGGTAATAGATGAGCAAGTGTGCGCTTGTAAAAATGATGCCTGGCTGGAATGCTTCCCAGGGAGTGGAGAATGTGAATCCGATGGCCGGGTAATAGTATATCCGTAAAGCACTTAGAGACATCATCAATGTATTAAGCACTATATAAAGGCAAAATATTATTATCATTATTATTATTTGTGTCATTTTAGATCCTGATGCTGGAGAAGTATCGTATCGTAAGGAAACCTCAGGAAGAGAGAGCCTTCAATATCTTCTACTACCTCATGGCCGGCGCAGACTCGTCACTCAAGTAAGAATGGGTTCAAAGGTCACTGAAGACCCAAATATATAGACACAACTGGGAGGTGTTTCACAAAGACTAAGATCAACTCTAAGTTGGACTTGATAGAGCCATTTGTAGCCATAAAATGAAATATATCCAAAAGCAAAAATTCAAGTATTTTAGAATTTTCATAAATTCCACATCAAGAACTTGAGAAATCTTCTTGATAATAGAAAATATGAATTATTTGAATCAATATTTTATGCCTTTTAAATAAGTTTTACAAAATGTTGTCTAAGATGCTATGGGCTTCCCAACTTAGAGATAAGTTCAACTTAGGATCTTTGTGAAACACCCCCCAGGTCAGAATCGTATTGCTGATGGCTGTCTCTGTAGTTATAACATGCAAGCAAGTATCAATGGCAGACAGAGGAGGCAGAGATAACTTGATACGGGATGTATCCATATCATAGATCATTGAGACAACTCAAGAAAAAAATTCTCCCCCATCATACATGTACCACCGCACAATTTTGATTGAGCAATTATTTTTAGGCCCCTGTGTACATCATATCCAGTCTCTCGAGACATGAATTATTCACGGTGTCAGTCAACAGACTGTGCAGTAATGGAATGGGTTGGTGGTGATGGGTGGAATCGTAAGTCACGCCTAATTTGTGCGAGAGGAGTGGAGATAGGGCCAGGGTAGAAATGGAGAGAGACCGAGAGAGACCGAGAGAGAGAGAGAGAGAGAGAGAGAGAGAGAGAGAAAGAGAGAGAAAGAAAGAAAGAAAGAAAGAAAGAGAGAGAGAGAGAAAGTGAGAAGAGAAGAGACTGAGAGAGACCGAAAGAGAGAGAAAAGTAGAGATGGAAAATATAATGATAAAATCATCTGTTCAGAGCCAGAAGGACACTCGGTCTGTATTAGAACACAGTTACTGCCCTTCTTGCAACATACAGAAAAAAATGAAAAAGAAAAAAAAAACAATGTAAAGAAGCAGATCGCAAGAGGAAAAGGGAAGGGCAGAGTGGCAGTGAAAGCATGAGAGGTAAATGTAAGTGGCAAGTGGCAAGAACACCCTTGTGATGAAAAAATTCCTCTGCTTGGCAACCATTCTCTTATACTATCCCCCATCCAAAAAGAGTGTTGCTCCAGAAAAGGTGTGAAACGGTGAAGGAGTCGCCTTGGTCACCATCTCTATGATAGCATCACATGTGATTATTTCTTCCCTGGAATCGGGGACGAAAGGTGTGAGGGAGGGGGTAAAGGGTTCTACAGAGTGTGAAGAGTGCTGTGGGGAATGAATAATTGCTTTGACAGCTCTCAATATCTCGCTAGAGTTTAAAAGAACTGAGTCACTTACAACATTACCTTCTCGATGAATGATTATGGTATTAAAGGTAAAGTCAAAATTGGATTTGTATTCCTGTTATCGGTCCCAGGTTAGATATGTGAGGCAGGGAAAATAACAGATTTTCCAATTTCTCTGCTCTTTATGAATAGATTTGACATACAGAACCATCTAATGAAAACAAATATTTTCTTATTCTTACATATATTAATTTTTGTTGTAAATACCATTGCTGAGTGGAGCCTTCTGAAAAATACATCATATATTGTATATTTCCTTTTTGTATGATGTCTCATGGTATACATGTACATACAAACCAGGTGTATTTGCATTAATCTCATGTTTTTTCTATGTATAAAGCCCTGATTGTTCTAACATTGCTTTGTTTCTCATTTTTGTTCAATGTCCAGTCAAGACCTGTCACTGCATAAGATGTCAAAGGAGAATCCATACATTCGACCTCTACTGAAGGTTAGACTCGATGTCATGATGAAGTCATTCTTTCAAGATTATTATCTAACATGATCTTTTATCCTTATGTTCATCTTTCATCTTTGTCTTAAAATTATATAAGATTTTATTGGTAGGGTAGTACCTTTATGTGTATACTCCATGAGTAATGTTTTAAAACTATTTTTTTTGTTTAAGTTAGTGAAAGTGTGATCTTCTCAAACAAAATTAAATTGGGACAAGACATGGTTTAAGGGCTGTGCAACACTAACCGCATACACTTTAGGAGATATGTTTCACTTTTTATGAAAATTAAATGAATGAACTCTACCTTGCACCGACGTAAAATGTAAGCTAGTTGTCAGAATACGGCACCAGTCTTCTTCAAATCCTTGTTTTCTTTTTTTGTTTCAGAGTGAAGAGGTCGACCACGCGAAGTTGATGTGGCAAAAGGTCGTCAATTCTTGTCAGCTGCTCAACTTCACAGCTGATGAATGCAAGGGACTGTGGTGTGTCTTAGCTGCTATCATACACCTAGGGGCAGCCGGAGCAACAAAGGGTAAATCATTCATATCAATTTGCATGTTTTATTTGAGTTATGTAAAGATGCTACATTGTTATTTCAATTGATTGTATATGATTGTTTGATTTATTCAGAAGTAATGTATATATTCATCAATAAATTTATTTTACATAAAAGATATTACCGTAATTAACGTTGTATAAACCGCCCTCGTGTATTAACCGCATATTTTTTTTGTGTGTGTAAGATCATTGATAAAGTAAATTAAAAAAACAGTAGGGGTCCTAGGATAGAACCTTGTGGTACACCATGTAATAGTAGAAAAATTGGAGGAATTATTATTATAAACTACATATTATACAAATAGTAAATGGTCATGAGTGCAATGGTACGAGATTTTGCACGAGGTGAAAGATAAGAGACGCTGTATTCAACGAGGTGCAGCCGAGTTGAATGGAGCGTCTCATCTTTCACTGAATGCAAAATATTGTTCCATTGCACGAATAAAGACCATTCACTATTTGTTTTATACAACACCTCGGACGTTAATGGGCTTAAAACGGTTTTCCTAGGCCTAAATCTCAACGATTTTTTGTTTGTTTTCAATTGATGAAATTGCTGATAATGAGCGCGCACTATTAACCAGGCAGCAAACCACACGCGTAACATGCGCCGCGCATACCAACCTTTATGTTTATTGTTACGCGGAGTGCAATTTCGTTTGATCCTTTCGCACCATTGCACTCTGACGTCACTTAGCTCACCATATACTTTGTACATCGTTAGTGACGTCAGAGTGCAATGGTGCGAAAGGATCAAACGAAATTGCACTCCGCGTCAATGATGCCATTCAATGGTACTGTTAACGCATGCCATGTGATCAAGAAGTGACCAATGACGTTGCAAGAATCTTGGTAGGCGTTGTATAATGAGATCTATCAGAAAGATTACTTTCAAACCAAGATGACAGACAAATTTGAGTGTTGTTTTAGTTTCCTAGTGGTGAGTCAACACACCGATTACCGAGCTGGGAGACATTTCCAGGCATAGCGCCAGGTGGAGGGGCATAAATCAAAACTTTTTTTTTTGGTGTACCGTGTATAAGCTGCACCCCGACTTTGAATTTTTTCAGCGGCAAAAAGGTGCGGTTAAAACACTGTTAATTACGGTACAAAAAATTTTAAAAATATAAATTTGCGTATTTGTTACACCCCGTCCTGCTGCAGAAGCGCAATTACGTGTGAGAAAAACATCAACCAGTTTAAATGTTCCTAATTGATGCATGATGCAAATTAGGTGATGAGTGAAGGGGTCTGTTGTGTACACTGGGCTACCAAAATTGAAGGATCACTTCTATTTTTTATCACAGTATTGTTTACCAGTATTTACATACATGTAGTTCTTGGCTTTTAAAGGATAACATTATACAAATAATGTAGGTGCCAAGATGAAGTAAATTACACCAAGCAGACTATTATGTAATAGTCTGTGCAATATTCCTTCTGATTGCCCATGTCAGATATAAATGAATGAACCTCTAAATTTTTCAGAGGAAAATATCCTAGAATACATGTATGTCTTGATAATAATAGTCACAATATCATAATTAATTGGATATTTTTATAGCGCACAAATTTACCACCCAAGGCACTCCAAAATTGCCCTGGCTCTGCTAAGCTACTGATTTCAGTGCTCACTGCATTCAAGGAATTCTTTCCTACTGGTATCCATTGTACACCTGGGTGGAGAGTGGCAAATGTAGATTAATGTCTTGCCAAAGGATATTATCAAAGGACGTATCCATTAGACCATGACACCTCTATACCTTTTATCAAAAGTGTCAAATATCTGTTTTAATTTTGAGATTATTTTTGTCATTATATTTGATTACTCATTATTCCTAAGTATCATTTGAGGTGTCCACACTTGTACAAGCATTGCTTTTTAGTGGACTGCTTTGTTTCCAATTTGTATTCCTAAATTGTTTTAAATGTTTTAAATTGATTTGTATTGTTTTGTTGGAAGGAAACATAAATAAATTTAAACAAATTGAAATAGAAATATTTGTTTGAATTTTGATTCATTCTGATGGTTTTTATTTGCATAACATCTTAGGATCTGGAAGTGCCAAAGCCCAGTTCCTCCACCCATCAGAAGCACAGAGAGCCGCCACCCTCCTGGGCGTGTCCCTGGAGGACCTCGCCCGGAACACCTTTAACCCCAAGGCCACCGGTACCCCGACCAGGTCCAACCTGAGAGCCATCCCATCCGATGGAGGGTCCGATGGAAGCGGGTCAGGGGGCGCTACGGAAGCCCTGGAAGGGATGATCTCGGGGCTGTACTCCGAGCTGGTCAATGCTGTAGTATCACTCGTGAACAGGTAGCATATATAGAGGGTTCTGTAGATTCTTTGTAGACTTTGTAGCCCCCTCAGATTATGGTTCTAGGGGACCAGTGCCTTCTGATTGAGGGTCGGAGGGTAGTGGGTCAGGGGGCGCTACGGAAGCTGTGGAAGAAATATCTCGGGGCTCTACACAGAGCTGGTCAATGCTGTAGTTTCACACAGGTAGGCTATAGAGGGTTTGTAGATTCTTTGTAGACTTTGTAGCCCCTTCAGACTTTGGTTCTAGAGGAGCAGTGCCATCTGACTGAGGGTAGTGGGTCCGGTGGTGCTATGGAAGCACCGGAGAGAATGATTTTAGGACTGTAAACAGAGCTTGTGAATGCAATGATCTCGCCTGTCAACAGGTTTGTATTGGTAGTCTGTATACAGGTGCATCTGATGGATTGATTTACTGTTTTAATCCACCCCTAAAAGAGTTGGTCAGGAGGTACTACGGATGTTCAATTTTTTATTAATTTTTTAAAAATAAATGTTATGATATGATTCTTATCGTTAGAAATAGGAAGTGTGTTATCCCAGTTGTTGAGAGCAAACTAAAGCTTTCAAACTTCTAGACCACTGTTGACATTTTGTTGAATAATATAATTTTTGTTATTTGATGATACTTTTCAAAATTTAATTTTAAAAGTATAAAGTATATAAAATCATTTTTAATTTTCAAAATAACCCAATGCTACACACTCACAAGTGAGCAATCATCTTAATTGTGTAAGAAGAGCGTATAACAAGGGATTTCTCTCTCTTCCCTAGGGGTCTATCATCGACATACCGCACCAAGTCCTCCATCCTGGTCGTTGACCTCCCTGGTCTTCAGATACCTGATGGGTGTGGTCGTAAGACCGGAGCTAGCTTCCAAGATCTCTGTAATAACTACGCCCAAGAGAGGCTTCAGCTTCTCTTCCATGATACGTCAGTCACTCAGCAGAAAGATAAATATGCTCAGGTATGGAAGTAATGATTCATATGGGGGCGTTGCAAAAAAGTTTCGATTGATTGCAAGTTGCAAAAATTTGCAACTGATATTTGCAATTGATTGCAACTAAACTTTTTTGCCATGCCCCACTAGTCTCCTAAATTTCCTAGGATTTTGTTAGGATTAAGGTTTTGACAAGTAAATTAAGTTAACTAGGTCTAGATTTTATTCCCCCCCCCCCTCTCTCTCTCTCCCTCTCTCTCTCTTACTAATGGGGTTTTGCAAGAAAGTTGAGCTGCGATCTATTGCAGTTAATCGCTTGACTTTGGGGATTTGCAATTGATTGCAACTTCTTGCATCGCCCCATTAGTGTGTATTGATGTCTTTGAAAGCTGATTGATAAAGGTATTCAAAATATATATTGAATTACAGTTTTGTAGCACTCATGCATAACATTTGAAGCTATTTGTAATACATTGAATCAGTTGCTATCAATAGTTCTGCACTTTGTACATTCTTTGACCATAAGAGTACTGGGTAATTTTGCTGGTTTTAAAGTCTGGAGAGTAATTTGTTTACATTCTGTTTTCAGGAGAATATAGAGGTTGATCTTGGCAGGGAGAGCGAGGCAGAGTCTTCACCTGGTATTATGGTCAACCTTATTGATAGGCAACAAGGATTGGTAAGTAGAGGTCAAAAGGTCATTGCTTGTTTCTCTAGACCTACATGTATGTGAATGAATACCCTTCTCACCGATCTTGTACAGAAAGGGGGGGGGGGGATGGGGAAGATTTCCACTTTAATAATATTTGATCAAAATTTAATCAAAATAGCCAGGGGATGACATTAACAGGCGCCTGGGACACATCGGGTACCTAAAATCCAGGTCCGGATCCCTCAAATTTCTAAATTTTTACATAGGGCTTATGTGTAAAGACATTAAAACCTCAAATTCAGACCCCTTTCCAAAAAGTTTATGTTGAGCCCTGCAATAGCTCAGCAGGTGTTCCAGACGCACATGATAACATTCTCACAATTGATATTGGTATTGATGATCTGTGTACATACATTAGGCGACTCAAAGTGATTACTGGTTGATGAAAATTGAAATAGATATTGGTATTTAATGTGAACTGCTGACATAACCATACACATAAATGAAGTAAACTTGATTGAACATGTATAAGTTAGAAGTTAGAATAAGCATCAAAATAATGTATGTCACTTGATTTTTAATAAACCAGCCAAACGCTTAAATTGTCTCTCTGTTTGTAATGTGTTCTCTGATGAGAAATAGGGGAAATCAAATTCTTTCTCTCTCCCCCTCCTCCCTAAGACCCGATCTTTGAATCTAGACATGGGGAACACAGATCAAAATCAATCAAAAAGATATTTGATATAGCGCCTTATCCTTACAAGCGCTGCACACACCGCTCTACAAAGTTTGGGCCACTTATAAACAAAAGAAGGGCATCTTATAGCTTCGGGACGAAGAATCTATCTTTCCTGGAGCCTCTGACGATTCCTTCCTGTAGTTTCCATTATTTATTCATACTTCTGCTACATATCAATTGTACTATTAGAAGTATGAAGTTGAAATACATTCTTTCTCTCTTTCCCTCCTGCCTCAGATCCGTACTTCGAATCCAGACCTGAGGAACACAGATCAGAAAGGAATCCTCTGGCTCCTGGACGAGGAATCCATCTTCCCAGGAGCCTCTGACGACTCCTTCCTGGAGCGCCTGTACCTTCACTACCATGAAGAGGCTAACAGATGTGAGTATAGACAATGATTCTAGTGATTTGTCCTTTGGCAATACATGATCTACATTTGCCACTCTCGACCCTGGTGTTGTGAATGGGTACCTTTTTCTCTGTACAGTTTTCCTTGTGTGAACTTAATAGACAGGTTAGAATGCATTCATAACTACAGTTTCCCTTCACCTCAGTTTACATGTATCTCTTTCTTACTTTGAATTATGAATGGAAATTGTTGTCGTAACCAAATTTCTCCTAAAATATCAAGACTTATTCCAATTTTCCTTTCTTGCCTCCAACCCTTTCAGCTGATGGTGCCATCAAGCAGAGTACCAATAAGAAATCCTTCATCTTGAATCACATCCAAGGCACTGTACCCATCACCTACAACGCCACCAACTGGCTTCGACAGTCCAGGGAGCATCCAGCCATTCGCAGTGCATCGGTCGTACTCCAAGAATCACAGAAGTAAGTCCAGTATCAGAAACTTGAATGGCATACATAGTCAGATTAATACTTCTTATTTTTCATTCAACAGGGTGTTTGTTCAGATAATGTAGCAGTCTCAGTGCAGGGTTTCCAATACCGTATTTTGAATTACTTCAATGTTTAATGAAAATCTGTTTACACTGGTATTGTCAAGTACAGATAATTTCTCAGAGGACAATGGGCCCAGACATTTTCCTATGCTATTGTTTTTGCACTTATTAATGCAGGCTATTTACAACACATGTTTGCACATGTTTTGCCAGCTCATTTTTGTGTGTCTTTAGATTTGCGATTCAAAGCCATTTTGTTATATTCAATTAGATTAACATTTCAATCTCTCTATTATAATAGGGTGGATACAATTTGAACACTTTTTATAGCATCAGGAGACATTCTAACATAGAATTTCCTTTGCTGGTAAAACGATTGGAAAAGTTATCTCTGACCGAAAGTGACCTTAATAACCCAGTTTTTGTGATAAGAGTCAATATTTTTTGAATCGGTGCAATATTTTCCCCCATATTTGCTATTCAAACCTTCCCCACCAAAAATTCTGTTTAAATATCCTTATATCCTAAGGTATAACACAATGCTACAGCAGACATTTTTGTTGACTCTTTTCCCATGATGCATTACTTGAAATCAACTGAACACTGGTGTCGCTAGATGGTGCTGTGAATTGTGAATCCACTGTATTTCACATGCTGATAGAATAATTATGATAATAATAGTGGGTTCTTGTATAGCGCTCATATCTGTCAGACTTGACTTTAGCATGGCTGACATTATGGCGTTCTAGCATTTTTCAAGGAATTAATTCCTGCCAGGTACCCATTTAAATCACCTGGGTTGAGTGTGGCAAATGTAGATCAATTTCTTGGCTAAGGACATTAGTGCCATTAGTGCCACTCGAACTGCCGACCTTGTGATCCACAGTCCGATGAGGTATCCACTCAACCACCACAACTCTACAATGGATGATTCTTGTTACTTCCATTTACACAGACCAAACATCAGTCATCTGTTCATCAGCCTGTCGGGCTCCTTACCAAGCTCCATGGTTGGGTCCGTCGCTGGCATAGAGGGCAGCTCATCGCTACGCAGAGCGTCCAGCATACGCAGGGCTTGGACCAGCGGGACGGCAGCCATCAAGAGGAAGTCCCTCTGTCTCCAGGCCAAGTACCAAGTGGTAAGAACTTAGTCTGGACTACTTTCATGAAGTTGGACTTGTTACATTTGGGTATTGGTGGAGTGCTCTTATGGTAATAAAAAGGAATATACATACAAACATTTCATGTATATGAAATATACATTTCATATACATGAAATATACAGCCACTCATCCTCTCCAAGCGCTATAGTTCTCCTTTGAACTAAGAAAGATAAAAAACAGTCCTTTTCAAGACTACACTCCTCCAAGAAAGATTACCGAGTCAGAATCCTTTTCAGGACTCCTCATACCTCCCTCTCTCTTTCACACATGGTACACCCGCAAACCTACTGTAAATATACATGCTGTTGATTATGATATTTTGATTTGTTAGTTGAATGACGTATGGCAAAAGTTGTATTTTATTATATTTTCAAATACTTTATATAAGTCAATTTATATAAACACTTTCAGGATAGGGCTGTTATTGAATTTATATCTGGTTGCAGACAAAAAAAATATGGACATATTAACCTTTTCAATGAATACCTAGTCGTAATCGAAGTTTAACTGTTTTTATATTGCCACTGGGATATACAGTAATCACTCTATTACTTATTTGACATTGTGGGGGTTTGAGATAATATTTGGACCTCTCTGTTTGCTTTAATTTTATATATATTTTGCTTGTTCTTATACATCATACAGAATTCAAATTACAGCACTCCATACATTGTTTTGAACATACACTTTTGTACATATATATACACAAAAATAAATTAAACTCAAAGTTTTTGTCTTCCTTTTCATCTACCTACCAGGATGGCATCATTGAGAGCATCCGCCGCACTCGTCTTCACTTCGTCCACTGTCTCCTTCCCCATGCTGATGCTGGTCTGTGTGAAGCTAGGATCATAGCAGGCAAACCCCCAAACTCCCCCTCTAACAACGACCTGCTCAATGTACCCTTACTACGATCTCAGGTCAGGGGGTCAAAGGTCATGGCTGCTATCAGAATCTTCAGGTTTGGTAAGTAGACAATACATTGAATTCTATAGCGCCCCCTGAACCTAATGTAAAACACATTTGCAACGTAAACCTTATATCAAATATATACCCCGTTGCCCCTGGACCCCAATTCAATCTTCCTCCTTTTTGGGACTTTCTCTGTCTCATCCCTATATATTATAAAAATGTTATCATCATATTCATTCATAAAAGGTTTTAACAGCTTCTTAAAACATTTGACAAAAGACAAATGGGAACAAATTATGGGGGATCATTCCATAGTAAAAAAAATAATGGGAACAAAATCATCTTGATCTTATTGTTTTTCTCTTGGTACACTCACTACTCACAAACAGTACCTTAGGGATGAGACTTGTGAACAATCTAGACTAGTGGGAAGTTTTAGTTTGCACTCAATTGGTGCTCAAAAAGGATTTCATCTTTATCTCTTGCAGGTTTTCCAGAGAGCATGTTGTACCAAGAGTTCAGGTATCGGTTTGAGATCCTGGCCCCTACAGAAGCCAAGATGCCTGAGCCTGTCATGGATGAAAAGAAGGTAAGATTGATGAGATGATGATGATGATGGTGATGGTGATGGTGATGGTGATGGTGGGGGTGATGGTGGTGGTGGTGGTGGTGGTGGTGGTGGTTGTGATGATGGTGATGGTGAAATTGGTGATAATGATGATAATGGTGATGGTGATGATAAGAAAGACGATGATAGTGAGGATAATGATGATGTTGATGACGATCAAGGAATTGGTGGTAATAAGGATAATGATTGTAGTGATGATGCTGTCAATGATTTTGTTGACAATGACGATGACGATGAGGATGATAAGGACTAGGAGGAAGAGGAAAGGAGTTGTTATTGAACTTCAAATATTAGATCTTCAATCAATTATTACTAAGTTTCAGTAAACTTTATTCACACATGATATTGCATTTTTGATAATTATAAGCATTTTCTATCAATTCTAAATTTTGTTTAAGAAAATCTCATTCATGTAGTAAAGAATACCATCATTGGTACTGTCATAATAATACAAAATATATATATATATATACATACATGTACTAGCTCCCAAAAAGCATTGTGTTCTTTAAAGGGATCCGGTAACTTCGTCTTAGATCCTTTAAAAAAATCCTTGATTTAGCTCATGCTTCAATGATAAACCTTGAGGTCATTTAGGAATCCCATGGCTTTTACAAGCCGATCACCTGTCTGATTATCAAGATATTTATGATTGAAAATCAAATTTTGGGTTTGCCAAACGGTTTTCATAACACTACAGTCTACTGGGGAAAACGAGTATGGTAAAACCGGTCACTCAAAGGATTTTACTTTTTTGAGGCACTTCATGATCATTTTGAAGCGCAATCTTTGTAGGGCTTCAATATAACACCATATCACAGACACTGATAACACATAGGGGCCATGCATCTCAGATTTAACATTGTTAAACGATCCCTTTAAAGATGATGAAATGTATTTGCATTTTCATTTTAATTCATTTAGGCTGTAGGACTCCTTCTAACTCATCTAGACCTGGACCAATCTTCATTCAGACTAGGACTAAGTCAGGTAAGAACTTGAATAAAAATTCCTGTGATTCTGTTTTACTTTTGTTGTTGCAATTGTTAGACATCTTGTACTGTGTTTACAAAATATAGCTTGTAATTTACCTGTACATATATATTTTGTCAATATTCTTTTCAAAAGGTGTTATCAATATATGAGTTTAAACTTATTTTGTGTACATATAAGATATTTCTTTTTATCCTTAGGTTTTCTTCAAGCCTCCTTTTTTTTCCTCAAAGGATACCACCTTCCTCTTACATAACAGGTGCATCTGATGGATTGTTTTACTTTGCTGTATGGGTGCTCTTTTTCTTTTTTAATCATTTCATTTCAACTGCATTTTTTCACCAGTGTATTTCTGTCAAAATGTTTGCAATACCAGATTAGTTATGTATAGATTTTCCTTTTCAGGTCTTTGTGAGATGTGTTTTTATTATATTACTTGAACATTATACATGTACACATTTTGCCATCAGCGAGGAGTGTTAGAGGTGCTGTTCTATGTCTTCATGTTAAAATGAAAACAGGATGCCATTCATGCATTGGTACTCATTGAATATACATGTACAGTGAAACTTGTCTATAAAGACCACCCAAGGGAGACTAGAAAAGTGGTCTTTATAGGCAGGTGGTCTTTACATATGTACAAGTTCCTTTAGTACATGTTTGGATGAGAAACCATTTTCAGGAGAAACAAAAAATATGGTCTTTGTAGATACCATAAGTGGTCTTTCTATACAGGTGGTAACTAAAGCAGGTTTGACTGTATATGCATATGTGTTTGCTGTCTGTATGTGTATTTAATCCCAACGTTGATCATATCACTCCAGCACGTCTAGCACCATGCTCAATCATTCTAAAAATATCGTGGCTAATCTGAATCGCCAGACAGTCCTCTAATCCTCAAGGTCAGATTAGTAATACGGACATGTCCTTAAAACTGACCCTCTTCCCTCGACCATTGCTACATAGGTACATCCTCAGAGGCCATCTTAAAGGGATCCGGTAACTTTGTCTTAGATCCTTTAGAAATAATCCTTGATTTAGCTCATGCTGCAATGATAATTATAACCCTTTAGGTCAGTAAGGAACTCCATGACTTTTACAAGCCTATCGCCTGTCTGATTATCAAGATATTAATGATTGGAATTACAAATTTTGAAAACAGTTCGCCAAACGGTTTTCATAACACTACAGTCTATTGGGGAAACAAGTATGGTAAAAACGGTCACTCAAAGATTTTTACTTTTTTGAGGCACTTCTTGATAATTTTGAAGCGCAATTTTTTTTTAGGGCTTCAATATTACACCATATCACAGACACTGGTAACATGTAGGACCGTGTATCTCAGATTTAACATTGTTAAACGATCCCTTTAAGGTTCGTCTACATATAACATGGTCAACTGCAGATAGCGAAAGTGCTAAACAGGTAATTTTCCCACTGCTATTATTAAGAAAAGGCTAAATTGTATTGTATGTGTGTGATTAGATACGAAAATTGGAAGCCTACATCACTCCTCTCGTTTTATTCTGCAGCATCGTTCGCGTAAAGGGGTTTATTGCTTCTAGTCTGAAAGGGGCTTTATGAAAGATTAACCCATCTAACATGATTTGCCCTCAGATAATGCTGAGACTTGTAGCCATAGAGAGGAATGACACATTCTTTAAGCTCTGGTATGTCAAGTCACGTCGAGAAAAGATGACCCTGACGTTTGCTTCTAGTACAGTCAAAATAGGAAAAAACCAAGAACTAATTGCAACAGAAATGATTCCACTTGCATATAATCTGGAGTAGCCATGAAAACAACATACTCAAAGTTGACAAAAATTGAAGTGGTGGATCAGTGCCTAATTTGCATAAATTCAAAATGGCCGCCATGTCAGACCCTGGTAGACACACAAAACCTATTTTAGCCTATATCTCTAGATCTGTGACACATATAAAGCTAAACAAAGTGTCTTTACCAATGTTTGGGGGATCAAGGAACATGATTATAGCATTATCAGCAGCTAACAACTACTCCTTGACTCTTAATTTGCATAAATTTGCATAAAATTAACCCTTTTCAAGTCAAAATGGCTGCCATGTTGCATGTTTATAACTATTTCTCATCTGATACTTACAGAAAGTTGATTTTAGTGCCCTTATCCATGTTTAGGGGGTCAAGGAACATAATTATGGCATTATCGGCAGCTTAGAACTACTCCTTGACTCCAAGTATGCATAAATTTGCATATAATTAACCCCTTTTAAATTCTGAATAGCTGCCATTTGTTCATGTTTAAAACTATATCTCTAGATCTTATACACATAGAAAGCTAAACGAAGAGTCTTTACCAATGTTTTGGGGTCAAGGAACATGATAATAGCATTATAAGCAGCTTACAAATACTCCTTGACTCCTAATTTGCATAAATTTGCATAAAATTAACCCTTTTTAAAGTCAAAATGGCTGCCATGTTGCATGTTAATAACTATTTCTCATCTGATACTTACAGAAAGTTGATTTTAGTGCCCTTATCCATGTTTAGGGAGTCAAGGAACATAATTATGGCATTATCGGCAGCTTAGAACTACTCCTTGACTCCAAGTATGCATAAATTTGCATATAATTAACCCCTTTTAAATTCTGAATGGCTGCCATTTGTTCATGTTTAAAACTATTTCTCATCTGATACTTATAGATAGTTGATTTTAGTGCCCTTATCCATGTTTAAGGGGTCAGGGAACATGATTATATCATTATCAGCAGCTTAGAACTACTCCTTGACTCCTAGTTTGCATAAATTTGCATATAATTAACCCATTTTAAATTCTAAATTGCTACCATTTTTTCATGTTTAAAACTATATCTCTAGATCTGATACACATAGAAAGCTAAACGAAGTGTCTTTACCGATGTTTAGGGGGTCAAGGAACATGATTATAGCATTATCAGCAGCTTAGAACTACTCATTGACTCTTAGTTTGCATACATTTGCATATAATTAACCCTTTTTTATATAAAAGTCAAATTGGCTGCCATAATATGATGCATGTTTAAAACTATTTCTCATCTGATACTTATAGAACGTTAATTTTAGTGCCCTTATTCATGTTTAGGGGGTCAAGGAAAATAGCTTGGTAGAACTTAGGAATGTTTTTGTCTAACATTTTATAACCATAGTTACAGTTAAGCAGGAACAAACTACTGTTCTTTTAAAGATACAATTGAAGAATTTGAAACCATCCTTGTTTATCGGCTTCTTTTATTCCTTGAATCCAACACAATTTTTGTGCTCTGGCAGATGACTGGTCCATTCCAAATAAATAATCCAGTGGTTGCAAAAACAATTTTGATTTTGTCGAGTAACAGCAACAGGGCCAGACGGAATCTCTGCCAGAATGTTGAAGGAAACTGCCGATCAGATCTCCCCTGCGATCACCCTGCTTTTCCAAGCCTCCCTTCATCAAGGATGCGTTCCATCGATGTGGAAGAAGGCACTTGTAGTTCCCATCCACAAGAAGGGCTGCAAGTCATCCCCGGGTAACTACAGGCCGATTTCACTGACTGCGATCTTATGCAAGCTGTGTGAGTATGTTGTTCACTGTGCAGTTATCCACCACCTCATCCATCATGACATTCTATCTGACAATCAGCATGGCTTTCGGAAGCGCCGTTCTTGTGAGACACAACTGACCCTCACCATCCATGACCTTGCTAGAGGACTGGAAGACACGGGTCAGTATGATGTAATCGTACTAGACTTTGCTAAGGCCTTTGACAAGGTCTCTCACAAACGATTCCTTCTCAAAGCCAAACATTGTGGTATACACGGCCTTACTCTTCAGTGGATCGAGAACTTCCTGACTGGCCGTACCCAACAAGTCATACTGGAGGGCCAACTCAGCTCGGAAGCCAAGGTCACATCTGGCATACCCCAGGGTAGCGTCCTAGGTCCATTGTTATTTTTGATCTACATCAATGACCTACAAGATTGCATTAGGCATTCAACCACACGCTTTTATGCTGACGACTGTCTGCTCTACAAACCAATCAGATCGATCCAGGACTGTGACAAACTGCAAGAAGATCTAGACAGGCTCCAGGACTGGGAGAAGACGTGGAAGATGGAATTCCATCCCTCCAAGTGCCAGGTCTTGCGAGTGACCAACAAGAAGAAGCCACTCCTAGGCCAATACACCATCCATGGTCATCAGCTGGAGCAGGTCAACTCAACCAAGTACCTCGGGGTCCACATTGATCAGAAGCTGAACTTCAATGCCCATGTACATGGGCGTCAATCCAAATTAGACCGTGGAGTGGGGGGACACAAGTTCAGACAGGGCGGCGCCAGGTTATTTTGTTAGGGAGGCGAATGGGCTGCGCCACACAGGGGGGGGGGGATGTCTGAAGGGATGTGCCCCCTCAGAAGTTGAAGATTTTGTTTCAAATTTATGCTTAAATGGCTCGCTTTGGTGCATACTTTTTGCCAAATTAAAAAGAAAACAAGTCTTAAGTTCAATTAACGAGGAACAAGAACGCAGGGGGTGTCTGTGGGGGGGATGTGCCCCCCTCAGAAGTTAAAGATTTTTTTTTAAATTGATGGATAGATGGCTTGATTTGGGGCATAATTTTTGCCAAATTAAAGAGAAAACAGTCTTAAGATCAAATAACAGGAACAAGAATGCAAGGGGGTAGATGGATGAATTTGTCGTTTCCATTGAACAATCAGCCATAAGGTTTGGAAGATACAAGGGAGATTTTTTTTTCAGTTGGTGAAAAGATTTTTTGTCTTCATCGTAACCAATGTTTGAACTTCCGGTAATGTGAATGTAATATTAATGACGCTTCTTTTAATAAAATCTGATCGCCTGATTTTGCTTGATTTTTCTCAACACAGAGAGAAAGAGAGAAAGAGAGAACAAAAAAAAAATATTTAAACCCCAAATCATGGGGGGACATTTCACCACCTGAAAATTCGTGGGGGGGGGGGGGGGGACGTGTCCCCCCCCCCCCCCCGTCCCCCCAGGATTGACGCCCATGCCCATGTAGATG